TACATAAATTATATGACGAGGGAGAGGACTGCCATATCTTTGGGTTATGGGCTTTGAAAAAGTGATGTCTATATTACTTTTTTCTCATGGTACAACTTCTTGGGAAAAAAAACAAGATAACGAGATAGGGAGTAGAGGAGGTAGGGTTTGGGTCTAATACATATTTTTTTTTTATAAAGAAGATTTTTTTTTTTTGTTCTAGGAATTAAGTGGAGGGGTGTCAGTCCCATAAACTGTTGTTTGGGATATAGGGACATCATAAAAAAAAGTCAAATGGCTTACAAGAACCATGTTAGTTAGCTTTTAGTGGGTTAGTAGGTTGGCAAATGCTTTGGGAGATTCTTTAGCAAAACAAGGGACTTCAAGGAATTCTTTGTTTTTTGGCTAATTTGTAACTGCAATTTGAAAAGAATTGGGTTTGGAACCACCTTTAAGGGGAGGAAACACCTCATGCCTCCTCTTAGGGTGCTTCATGCTTGTACTGTGTCTATCTCTATTTAATAAAATATCATTTATTCATCAAATAAAAATAAATAAATGCACATGTATATGATTAATACACACTTACACTCATTTACAAGTACACATATTATGTATGTTATCCATATAGAAACACATTTTGTTTTTTCTACTCATATATATACATAGTGGATGGCACCCATATAATCAGAGTGAGATGGACAACATGGAAGGGTGCACATGGAGTCATATGTGATACACAAACACCACTTGAATTAAAAGAAAAACTTTATAAAACAATTATAAGGCTACTTATACAGTATGGAACAAAGTGTTGGACAATCAAGAAACATCAGGTCCAAAAAACGTTTGCGGCAAAGATGTATATGTTTAGATAATTGAGTGAAAAAAAATAAAGAAATGATATGATAAAAAATGAAGTCATTCGAATGAACATAAGAGAGCTCCTATAGGTGATAAAATGAGAGAAAAATAGATTAAGATAGTTTGATCATGTGCATGAAAAAAAAGTAAAAAGTAAAAACTGTAAGAAGAAATTATTTGTTTCAAGTTGAAAAGGCTAAAAAAGGGTACAGGGTAGATCAAAAGGGCATCCATAGAAATAGTAAGAAATGATTCATTGCCAATAATATGACATTAAACAAAACATAATGGCAACACTGAGTTTATGTAACCAATCCCATATAGTTAGGATAAGGCTTAGACGATGATGTTGTATGTTTGCATGTATGTATGTATAAAAGGCAAATTATTATGAATTTTGATAAGTGCCACCTTATTGGTAACTACTTTAATGATAATGATACATTGATTTTAAGTTTTTTTCCAGGTATAAATGTGCATGTATGTATTAGCCAAGTGCATTTTATTCATAATTTTGGTACATTATATTCCTAAATTGGGTTATAAAATGTGTATGTATGTATTAGCCAAGTGCATTTTATTCATAATTTTGGTACATTATACTCCTAAATTGGGTTATAAAAGCCTAATAAAAGATGAATTTTCCACCTAGATTAAAATCCTTTCAAACTTATCAATCTACTGAGATTGTGGCAGAGGTTGGAGTTTTCTTTGGGGGGAGTTATATAATCTTTTTGTTGGCTTATGGCAATGGAAAAAGTTATATTAAGTCAATTACATTATAGATATAATATTGTTACAAAAAGTCCAAGGTACATAAATTATATGGTGAGGGAGAGGACTGCCATATCTTCGGCTTATGGGCTTTGAAAAAGTGATGTCCATATTACTTTTTCTCATGTACAAATTCTTGGAAAAAAAACAAGATAACGAGATAGGGAGTAGAGGAGGTAGAGTTTGGGTCTAATACATCTTTTTTTTTTTATAAAGAAAAAAATATATATTTTTGTTCTAGGAGTTAAGTGGAGGGGTGTTCCAGAGTTATAGAGAGAAGTTAAGGCTTCTATGTTAATTGAGTTGCATTGATTTAGTGACTTTGGAGAAGCTATCAAAACTAGCTTCATTAGAAAGTTAAGTTCTTAGCTCAACGACAACATTTTTTGGCTTTATGAGGTTTTTACCGGTGTTTTCAAAATCAGACTAGACTGGACGGTCAGAATAGAAAAACCAGGAATGGGTCACTTGACCGGTTCCGTTTTACCCTAAAACCGCTTTTTGACAAAAAATATGTTGATTTGGTTAACAAACCATTGACCTAGGGGGTCAAACTGTCGAATTGTCGTCTCAAACAATAGTTTTGGCTATTTTTTTTATTTTTAAAGAATGGGCCATCTGTTCAGACCATATGGTCAGACCATTCGACCTGGGAACCGGTTCCCATAACGGTTCCCTGTCTGATCCAGTTTTAAAAATCTTTGTTTTTACCATATACAACATGCTAATATTTTGTGTGGGACCTACCTTACAGCATCAAAAGCCACCGCAAGAAAGTTCTCCCAAATAGGCATTTTATCCACCCTTACATCCAAATCAAACCAAGCTTAGAATCCCTGCTTGAATGTGTCATGTTAAGGTTGAATTGAGCTGGGGTTGATATACTTGAGTGTGGCATTAGATTGGTTAAGAAAGTAATTCGATGCCTAAGTTTTAGGGTTAGGTCTAGATTGTTCATTAACACAACCCAATCTTCCCAGGTTGTATCCCTATAGAGGGATAGATTTGTCAATAGGTCAGATTTATTTTGAGATAAAGTGTATTAGTCGTGTACCAATTATTAATGGGAGAAAATTATAGACATAGAACCATCATTAATTAGGATAATTGGGTCTAGCTCAATTAGGTCTGGTTATATTGATATCTACAATTATCTTTAGGGAAAATTCTCGATTAGTACCTTGTACTTTGGGTCTAGTGTCACTTTGGTCCCTAAACTTTAAAATACGATAATTCAGTACCCGAACTTTCAAAACGTGATAATCCAGTACTTACCGTTAATTAGCTATTAATCAGTCGTTAAGTGACATTTTAAAAAGATACAAATGTCGTTCGAGTGTCATCTAATTTTCTTTATCAACTAACCAAACATTGACAAAAAAAAAATAATAGTCCCAAAATCCTTGCCTCTTCTATTCAAGAAAGTTGGGTTCACCAAAATGCCCATTCAAACATTACCCCAACTTTCTTGAATGGAAGAAATAAGGATTTTGGACCGTTAATCTTTTGTCAACATTTAGATGGTTGATAAAAAAAAAATTAAAATGACACTCGAAGAGCATTTGTGTCATTTTCAAATGTCACTTAACGACAATTTAACTACTGATTAATGGTAGGTATTGGATTGTCACGTTTTGAAAGTTGAGGTACTGAATTGTTGCATTTTAAAGTTCAGGAACCAAAGTGGCACTAGACACAAAGTATAGGGTACTAATTTGGAATTTTATCTTATCTTTAATTAGGATAATTGGGTTTGGCTCAATAGATCAAGTTATATTGACATGTATAATTATCTATACTAATAACAACTTAAAACTTAATATGGCCTTAATAAAAATGACAATAAAATAGTTAATTGTTTGTATGTTAATAAGTCAAGTTTTGAACCAAAAATATCTTATATATTATCTATTAATTTTTTTTCTTTTTAAACATAAAATATAATAAAAAACACAAGAAAACTATAAATCCTTTATATATTATTAACTCATCAATTTGTTTGGAACAGAAAAGAACTGAAACTAACCCATTTATAATTATGGAAAAATCACATAACTTATATAATTGGTTTGGTATGTTCAGTTTGATTGGATAAAACTGACTCATTAACAAGTTGGGATCTCCTACAACAAAACACATTCCAACACTTTACAAATATGACATGACATTTAAGGGCCTGTTCGTTTGCTTTGAAGTTTGACATCTGAAAATATAATAATTACATTAAGAGGTAGATTGGTATTGGTGAACTTTTCTTTCCTCTAAACTCTGAATGTAGATAATGTTATTCTGAATTCTGAAAACTATCAAATTTCCATTTTGACTAATATATGAGAGTTTTTTGTTTGTCTTTTTGGGAATATCATTGGAAAACAAAAAGTAGTATGATTGCACTTTAAGAGATAAGAGGAAACAAATAACCAATTTTCTCTTAAAGTTAAAAGATTCCTCTTAAGAGATAAGAGTTAAGAGGAAACGAACAGGCCCAAAGGTGCAATTTTAGCAGATCAGGGTTGGGATTTTGTCAAAATTTCAACGGGCTCAATCTGAAACTCGAAACAATATAAACGTTTAACTCAAGTCAACCCGAATTGCACCCCTTATCGCACATCTCTCCTATATTTGTTTATGAGTTGGATTTGGATTTGACTTTTGCCAAAATTTAAATGGACTTGACCTCAATCCCGAATCCAACACATTGTAAAGTTAAGCCCAAAACCTGACCTAATCTCACCATGAGATTATGACCCATCATAAAAGTAGGACTCACCATGTATAAGATGTAACTTTTGAATTCAAATCAGCCCCCCACAAGACTGTCCCCAATAACATCCCACAACACATCTCCGCTGTGTTTTAGAAACATCTCCCGATGATAATATCAAGAATGATGATGTCATCATTAGGAGATATTCCCAATACACGACAAGGATGTGGTGTGGGACATTGTGTGAAGCATTCTTGTGGGGCTGATTCGGTCTCGTAACTTTAAATTGTAACATGTCCAATAATGTTAGTAGGATGTTGGAATGTTTTTGTTGGCAGGAGATCCAGCCTTGATTCTCATTGAGTCATTGATTCAGCGCATCCACAGTACATCCAAACCGTGCATCGGGAGCATCTCCCAAAAATACACGTATGAGAGATGCTCCCAATGCACGCTCAAATGTGCATGTGGGGCGCAGATGTGAATTCACTGATCGGAGGGAGAAGAAAATGAAGGATATAATTGAAAATAAGAAATGAATCTGGGTTATAAGTTGACAGTTAAAGTTGGAGTTGGGACCTGGAGAGAGCGAACTCTTTTACAATATACTTGGTATAATTCTAATAACCGACGGATTAACATCTTCTATAATAGACGATTGAGATCTCATCTTTATAGCTCATCGGTCCTCTATAAATCACTCTATCTCGACAAAACACAGCCCTTCGGTACGCAAAAACCCTAGAGCAACTTGAAGCCAAGACGCGGCAACGATGGGTAAGCGAACGCACGCTTCATTCCTTCGATCTCAGAATTCTCATATCTTTCTCTGAATCATTTTGCAGCCATTGTTCCCAGTTTTGGATGTTACAGTCTTGTTTTGCAGCCATTGCTTTGATTCTAGAAATGGGATACTGGGGATGCTGGTACTCTGTCTCGAATATTTCAAGAACAAATCTGTCGTTTTTTTTTTCACTTTGTGTCATTGATGTCGCGAATGGTGTTTATTCTCAGGCGTATTGAATTCTCAGTTTTACGATGTATCTTTTTTCCAATGCTGGATCAGTGGATTTGTGATGCACTAGTCGTTGTATTTGTTCTCAGTCGTTTTTGTTTAGTTGTGATTACTGGTCTGAGTTTTGTTATCTGTTTTGAGGATCCAAGTATTTTACTTTTATTAATGGTCGTTCAATCTTATTGGATACCTTCTGCCGGTTGTACGTGTCTATAATTTGGGTTTTGATTTTTCTGTTTTACATTTATGTGATATTTAGGGGCTTACAAGTATGTATCAGAGCTATGGAGGAAGAAGCAGTCCGATGTAATGAGGTTTCTGCAGAGGGTCAGGTGCTGGGAATACCGCCAGCTACCCTCGATCGTCCGAGTGACGCGACCTACGCGGCCTGACAAGGCTCGCCGGTTGGGCTACAAGGCTAAACAGGTGTGTGGCCATCTATTGCATCAATTTCTTATACTTTTCAAGTGGGTTTGTCTTTTTTACCTGCTAACATGTTGGATCGGTTACTTATATTTTCTCCAAAATCTTGTTTGGACTCAACAAATTGTAGTTACTGCGAAGGTTTAAATGATACCCAAATTACCACATCAAATTGGAAGACTACCAAGGAGCACCTACCTTAATGCTGTAGTTTTTCTGGGTACATAATGATTTGATTTACCTTAATCCATTCTTAGCAGTTTAGTTATTCAGGTGAGCCTGGGCAAATTGCACAAGATGAAGCGTACCTGGAAATCATCTTAGATGACCAAAAGGCAACTAAAACTGGTGTTTAATTAGTTCAAACTCAAACCATAGTTTTATTTGGCTTGCTGGTAGTTGAGGAATCTAAACTAAAAGTTCGTGTGCCTTGCCCTAAAAGTTGAATGATCGTTGCTGGATTTGCATATTTAGATTTTGATCTGAAAATTCACGGCTTTTATTGCTTTTTGGCTTATATTGTCTATATATGTTCAATAATACATCCTTTCTTTTGAAACATTGATATTCGTGTGCCTCTAGTTTATCAGGACCTGTTAAGCTATGGTGTTTGAGACAGAAATTTGAGAACCGGTTCTTGTATTATGGTATATAATAACAGATCCATTAACATTCTGATGTATCCATGTAGGATGAACTACACTGATGCCAAATGTAGGACTAAGTGCTTTCATACTGATTAATGATATGGGACTGAGTGCTTTCCTCACAAACATTAGCATGTAATGTTCCTCTAGTTGATCGTGATTCATTATTTTATAGCATTTAAGATGGTAACTACAAACTTGAGCATCGGTTCATGTATTTAGTGATGCATTAGCATTCTGATGTAGGATGTACCACTTGTAGGACCAAATGAGTTAGATTCCAATTATTGTAGTACCAAATGAGTATGTTACAAGGATGTGCTGAGAAATTCTTGCAAAGTTTACATAATAATTGAAGTATCCAACATGATATGACGCCAGTGTATGGGTATCTGGGTATAATAGGGAAGACAACAAAAATGATTGAATTGCACAGTTGCACTATTGTGCTTTTAACAAAAAGAAAACTCAGTAACTCCTAAACTACTTGTTGATGAATTCGAAATTTTAGACAGAAATAAACCAAGACTAGGGAACCCAAACTACCATGCTGGATTTCAGATTCTGTAAGATGACTAAAACGCCCCCATTGTCTAAGAATACAAAAATAAATGAAAACTTCATACATACCATGCCTGATCACATGGCTCTTGCATTCCATTCATATACTTAATACGCCTTATTGACATGACCTTCGAGTTTGTGCATTTGGTGACCTGACCATCTACTACGTGGGGGAGCTATTATTTGGTTCCAACTGGCCAGAATTATTTACCTGTTATGATAGTGTCCTCACTCAAAGTCTAATAATTTGGTTTGGTTTACTTGAATCTCAGTGAGGGAGTTTTGTTGAAATTTGTGTATCCCAAATAACTTTAATTCTTTAAATTTATACAGTATTTTCAATATACCCATTCTTGAATGCGTGTTTATTTATGAAATTGTTTTATAAGCATGGTTTAAGGTATCGATACACCTTACACCCAAACGTATTGGTAGGGGTGTATGGATACAATTTTGGCCATGCGTTTTGTTTTTTTTTTTGAAATTTTATTCATATGAATGTTTTCATATTATTTAATAAATAAAAAGGTTGGGTTCCCGATGAAAACACCTGTAAACAGGTGTATCGGATACCCAATGATACCATATGATATGCCTGATATGGGGTGTCTTATCAATGCTTAGAACCTTGCTCACAAGCTCATCTTGTTTCTTGCATCCGCATGTTCGCTAAATTTATTCTCTTTTCAGGGATATGTGATCTACCGTGTCCGTGTTAGACGTGGTGGTCGTAAGAGGCCAGTTCCCAAGGGTATTATGTATGGTAAGCCAACAAACCAAGGTATCACACAGCTGAAGTTTCAACGCAACAAGAGATCAGTTGCAGAGGAACGTGCTGGGCGTAAATTGGGTGGCCTGAAGGTTCTCAATTCCTACTGGATCAATGAGGTATGTGCCTTGAATTTTGTAACCGTTTCTATGGTTTTGGTCTGGCTTGTAATGAATGCCCTTCTCGTTTCTGGTTGCAGGATTCAACATACAAATACTATGAGATCATCTTGGTTGACGCTGCCCATAATGCGATCCGCAATGACCCTAGGATCAACTGGATCTGCAAGCCTGTTCATAAGCACAGGGAGCTCCGGGGACTGACTTCTGCTGGTAAAAAGTACAGGGGTCTCCATGGAAAGGGACACTTGCACCACAAGGCAAGGCCATCCCGAAGGGCAAACTGGAAGAGAAACAACACCCTCTCTCTCCGTCGCTATCGTTAATGGAAGTGACATTTCTTGCAGTTCTTGTTGTTTTAGGATTGGGATTTCATTTGTAGGACTCGTTAGCCTGTTTGGGATAAAGAGTGAGTTGGTTATAACGATGAACAAATTCATATTTTGGCAGATTTTATACGCTATATTTGTTTAAGTTGTTTTATCATGTGGAGGATCGTTTTTATAATTTTATTACAATGTTGCTAGAACGCTAGGCCTGTTCTTCATTGGGCATTTTCTCTGCTTCCCCCATTTTAGGTGCCTACGTCTACTTGTCTTTCAGGTTCCTTGTTCAATTAAAGGTCTATCCTGAATCTACTTACTGTTTTTTGAGTTTTAATTTTATGATTTGTATCCCTTGAAGGCATGATTTTGAGTGCTGATGCCTAATCTTTTCAATGTGTGCCTATGCTCAGCGACGGGTAGCTTGGAAATAAAATAAACAATTTTCCCGAGAAATACAACTCGACCAACTATTGGGTTCCGCCATTTTCTTTCGCCTATTGATGCATACGCAATTGCTTTCAAGCTGCTTTTTATGTGTTTCATTGAAGGACCCCCAAATTGTCGTTAATATCGTCTGTTGAGTTGATTGGCTGTGAATTTTTTTGGTATCACGTTTTTCTCGTATCATGCTCTAACCCTTCTTATATTTGTTGTTAAGTATAGAGAAATTGCATAAAATGGCCTCAGGCATAATTCTTCGAGGTATGATGCTTAGGAAATATACAAGTATTATTATTTTCTCGAAATCAGAAACAAACTGGCAAGGTGCCAACAAATTGGTTGGTAAGGTCTTCTGCTGGTCGTAGTCAAGACTTGGGATTAAATTCTTTTTGCATCCAGATTAGGGGGTTTATGGTCTATGGGGTATCTCCGGTTGTATAGCCCTTTAAAAGAAATAAAAAAAAAATCAGAGACAAATTGAACAACTTATTACTTTGTCTTTAGTGGATAAAATAATTAAAAAATAAAATGTTTAAGGAAATAATAATCTATTGACTTCAGTTTTAGACTTATAGCAATTCCTTAAAAGCTTCACTAAGGCTCAGTTTGGAAAGAGTACAAAGACAAATATGTACAATACAAATATATATAAAATAATAAAAAATACAAGATTTTGTACTCTACATATTTGTATTTGTACTCCTTCCAAACTGAACCTAAAAGGCAAAAGCAATAAGATTTTTCAGTTCAACAACTTCAAGTCTTCAACTGTTATCGGACGGCCCCTGAGGGTTCTTGAAGTCCTCAAATAGTCATGAACGTCCCACCCTCTAGACTTGTGGTAATTGGCAATCATGATTTCATGAACATGTATGGGTGAGGTAGGTGATTAGTGAGGGAATTAAAATTTTACAAAGTTTTTCAATATGCTCCAATGCTTTTTCTATAACCATTAGCAGCCTCCACAATAATTAAATAGGGAAATTATGGAAGCTTGGAAGAGATATGGAATGGGCTTTGGAAAGTAGATGAGCTCGTCAAAGTCTAAAGTTTATTTTTGGTTTAAATCTTCACCCTAAATTGAGAAAAATTGTTTTTAGGGCTATAGGTATTTAGATGGTTAGCAAACGGTTCCCTTATTTGAGACTGCATCACTACCCTCTATATGGGTAGATCAAAGCAAGGTATGCTTAACCATTTATGTGAGAGGGTGGACTGAAAGGTTAAGAGTTGGATAGAAAATAATCTTTGTAGTTAGAAAGGAAATAAAAATAAAAGCAGTCCTAATTGCTTTACCATCTTATACCATATTATATATGCTTCCTACTCCCAAAAGGTGAGTCAGGATCTTCTCACACAACATGCCTCACATCGATCTTACAGTATGTTTTGGTCATTTATTGGGAACATCTCTCATACTTGTATTTAATATTCATAGGGAAGATGTTCCCAATACAAGATAGGATGTGACTGTGAGATTGGTGTGACGTGTGCTTGGTGAGGAGCAGATCCCAATTCCCAAAAGGGCTTGTATGATCAGCTCAAAATATCCAAAAAGAAGTTTTCGTGGGAGGAGGTAGACGAGTGGAGAAAGATAAATTGGATCAGTAGGAATAATGCATGTAATAATAAAATTCAATGGGTCTTGGATTTAGAGACCCAAGAACTTTTAACCTTGCTTTAGTGGCCAAACTGGCTTAGAGGTTATACAAGAAAGAATTTAATAGATAAAAAAAGTGAAAGATAAACAAAAATTTTTGGTCTATAAAAAACTCGAAATCATTGTTTAGCTTAATGAAGCCTTGGAGTCTGGGAATCAATTTTGATATTAGTTATTGGGCTTATTGTTCAAGAAGATAGAAGATGGGAAAACAAATATTTTGGGACAATGTGGGGGTTGTGATGTAGAAAGAAAAAAAAAAAAGTTTGGGGGTTATGATAAGCTCATGGTGACTCCAAATCCAAAGGGTTGGCTTACAGTAAAGCCTATCCTCCTAGCTCATAAAATGGGCCAAAACTCTAAGACTGATAGGGGTCAGCCTATTCTATCAAAGGAACAATGGAAATTAATTTGAGTGTCATTTGGTAAATCTTTTTTGAAAGATCTTTTGGAAGACTTATAATGTGAGATTTTATATTAAGATCTTAGCAATTTGAAGACTATTTGGTTAAAGTGTGTCTTCCCACATGAAGATGGGATGAAAAAAGTTGAAAGATTTCATTTGGAGCTTTCTAAAAATAATCCAAAACAGGCTTCAACGTGTCTTTTTGGAGTGGTATCTTTTGACGGCTAAATCTTTTTTTAACTAAATATAAAAAGACCAAAACACAGGCTACCGGACTTCTATACAACCAACTGTATATGCATGAAGACGTGCCAAATGAGACTTTGATCTCTTGCTTTTGTTATAAAAAGTTTTATTTGGAAAATTTGTTTGAATGGTATAGCCGTATAGCTGCTAAAGCAAATCTGTCTGGGTTTGATATGAATGTGAATGATAGTGTGCTCTATGCGGGAAGGAGCCAGAAACGATTGTTCATACACTACTAACATGTGGGCATGCAAAAGCTGTTGGTTTAGGTGTCACCTTGAACCTCAAACACAGTTATGTCAACTGAGGTATTTCTTTTGTTGCATGGTGGAAAAATTGGTCAGTGTTAAATGAAATAGATTATTCAATTCATGATTCAGTGTTATATATATATATATATTCATGCGAGTAGATTTCCACGTGAGAGCTCACAATCCAATAATTACAGTAATTAATGGTTAATTAATGGAATCTACTAATTATTCCAGTAATTACAGTACTTAATAGATAATTAATGGAATCTACTGATTATTACAGTAATTAATTACTATAATTTAATTATTATTGATTACTACAGTAATTTAATAAATAGATAATTAGTGATTATAATAAATAATTACTGTTATTATAAATATTTCTAATAATTACATATTTACTTTAAAATTATAAGTACTGTTATTAAAAAATACTGTTAATAAATTACTGATTATTACAGTAATTTAATAAATATATAATTAGTGATTATAATTAATAATTACTGTTGTTATAAATATGGTTAATAAATAGATATTTACTTTAATTTTACTTTAAGTTAAAATTATAAATATTGTTATTAATAAATACTGTTAATAAATTTAGTAATTATTGTTATATTAAAAATAATTAAAAATGTTATTAAAAGTATTCTTATTGATTATCAATAAAATATTATAATTACTGACTATTACTGATAAATACTGTTAATTTAATTTAATTTTGATAATTATTAATTTAATGAATATTGTTAATAAATCCTATTCATAAATCCAATATTTAGTGTTATATTAAAAAGAACTAAATAATATTATTAAAACTATCATTAATGATTATTTAATTAAATAGTATAATTACTTACTATTATTGATAAATGTTGTTAATAACGTTCTGACAATCGACAGCTCGACTGTCTAGTTATTAAAAAAATAAAAAAGCGACCAAAAACCATTGAATGGGTCAACGGTTCGACCACCTAGGTCAATGTGTCGTTGACCGATTCAATGATTTTTGGCCAGGGACCGAGATTAAGATAAAACGGAACCGGTTGCCTGGATGGTTCCCAATTAAAATAATGGCCAAATACCATTGAACATGTCAATGAGTCGATGATTTGACTGCTCGGGTCAATGGATCATTGACCGATTCAACGGTTTTTGGCCAGGGACCGGGTCAATGGACCAACGGATTGACAGTTCCATTCCCGCATGGCCCCTTCGCTAGTTCTATTGTTATCATGCCATGCTTATTTGGAAGTGCAGGAATGGTTTCATCTTTGATCAAGTAATGACAAACCCAATACCCAAGTTTACTTGAGTTCGACTTCTGTCAGGGCAACTCATTGCTCGCACCATTCGAGCAACCCCTTATAACCTTGCATTGGGAATATCTCCCTTGAAATAAATTGCATGATTACAGAGATATTCCCAACATAAGGTTGTAAAGCTTGTTGGAACAGGCTTTGCTTTGACCCAAGTCGGACTCAGTTTACTTATCCTTAGTGCTAACAACATGGTTTTTAAAATTCGGATCGGATTGTACGGTCGGATCGGAAAAACTGGGAAACAGTCAGGTGATCGGTTCCATTTTATCTAGAACCATTATTTCGCCAAAAACTATTGATTTGGTTAGCAAATCGCTGACTTAGGTGATCAAATCGTTCAAACCGTTCGAACCATCCAATGGTTTTGGCCGTTTTTTTTTTTATTTTTTTGTTAGAATGAGCCATCCGTTCAGTTTGAATGATTGAACCATTCAACCTAGAAACTGGACCCTAATTGGTTCGTTATCTGATTTGGTTTTAAAAACCTTGGCTAACATGATGATGCAAGAAGCCACCAAAAGCCTTAGCACCAAACTCAATCGAATAGACATCTATTTTGTGCGTGTGTGGAAGCCTCAGGCCGTGTTTGGTTTAAAAAAGAAAAGGAAGGGAAATTAAGTTAGTTAAGGAAGAAGTGTTTTTTTTTATTAATGATAAAATTGCATTCGAAGATAGCTGAAATGTAGACCCTCCGTAATGGTCTCCCTTGTTCTTTTATTTTATTTTGTCTACGAGTGTTGTTATTTAATTAGTTAGTCGTCTGTCATTAGTTTGTTTTTCTTTTTCTTTTTTTTTTTTAATTTGTTTCTGCTAATCTGTCACTTTGCTTAGTTAATAAAAATCTTGATTACCAAATAAAATTTAAATTACCATATATTTATACAAACTATTGTGATGGATGAGATTGTTATTACAACTAAGGGCTGTTTGGGAGGGTTTAGTTTAATAAGTAGCTGTTTTGGTTCAGCCAAAATCCATAGCATGAAAGCCCTCTTAGACGCAGTCCTACATCGCTAATATGTAAGCATAAATCATGTTAATATACATGAAGACTAACCAAGCGGCTGTTTCTTCGGAGACATCTGATAAAATTGGAACGATACAGAGAAGATTAGCATGGCCCCTGCGCAAGGATGACACGCACAAATCGAGAAATGGTCCAAAATTTTCAATTCTATAATCTGACATTTTTAGACTTTCACAGAAGAACACCCTTTTGAATTTAGAAAATGAAAATCAATCGATAGAAAAAAAAGGCGCATTGAAGGTTTTGAATGGTCGAGTTCTATTTGTTACCCTTTGTTTTCCATTTATCTTTTCCTTCAACAAAATCTATGCTTTCTGGGCTGGGAAACAGGGTATGGTTCTGGACCCTGGTTTCTATGAAAGCAAATTGGGGTAATTTTTCCTTTTCCGTTTTTTTCGTAAAACAAGATTGAGAGGGTTCGAAATCTATCAAATGTATAGATTGGTGGGTATAGATGTTTTCTGTTCAGTTCAGTTCAGTAAGAAATCACGTTCAGAAATATTCAGGTTATTGGGGACTATTATATCTTATTTTTCCTTCGAAATTAGTCATCTTGAATAATTCATTGTTTTACTTTAGACAATCTGAACATCCTAAACCACCTTTCAAATCCAGATCTTTCTGGGGGTAGTTTTCGTCACAATCAGTAGTGAAGTTATTGTTTGGATTCAACGTTCAATCTTCAAATCAATTTTCCCAGTGAATCTTTAATCCTAGTCTAATGTAGGCCATTCCAATGGAGGTAATAATATGACCCATATCTCCCAGTCAAACACCAGCCCTTTGTTGAAATTCAAAATCTTTCTGTGCAATGTTCGGACTAATGAATTCTCTTATTCCATCACCCAGTTAATTGATTCGCCTGAAAGCCTTTTGGTAGCTTCCTAGATGTAGAGCCATTTTCTGCTCAGAAGCAGGAGCTTTTCGTTTCTGCAGGAGTTAGAAAATCGGACCATGTGCACAAGTTGTAGTAATTAAAGAGTTGTTTCTTCCAAACCCCTCAAATATCCTTCTGAACATGCTTGGATTTTTAATCAACTGGTTCAGAATTTAGCAGCACAAACTTGTTTCTGCGTTAGTCTGCTTCATTACTACTTCTGGGATGCAAATTTACCTTGACTGGTCTTAGCACAACCAGTCTGTCTTCATTTTGACAACAAGGTTCAGGAATCTCTTCATGGCGTGGAACAAGCCAAATCTTTGAATCATGCTTTCTCATTTCTACTTTTCCAAATGTACTAGAAGTCTAGAATACAAACATAGTCCAATATGGTTTATTTGATACAGAAAGTACAACATGGCTGGCTGCAGAAAAGCCATGGTTCTTGAAAAGCTGTTTGTTGGAGGGGCCAAACACAATAAAACAAACACAGAGAGTCTGAAATCTGAATGCAAATGATCAGACCTCTGGGCTTCATAACATTTGGAGCAGTAATAACACGAGGGACGAACTTACAAACAACAGGAAAGGCAATAGAATTTGCCCAATCTGGGCTCCGCTGGTACCATTGCTAGATCCCACCGGTGCTGTGGCATTGCATTTCAGTCCATCYTTCCCTTCTCGGCACTCACTGGAAAACAGGCCAGGGGGATATCCCTCATTCTGGGTTATGTAGCTGAGCATGGTCGATGCACAATTACTATTGAGGTCATTAATCTCAGCTGCGTATGGGCAAGCAAATTCTTTCAAAGCTGCACAACAGAGCTCTGGGGGAAACTGGGGCCCTTTGCATTGGTTTTTGAATATTGTGTAGTCCAGGTTCTCGAAGTTCACAGTGCACTCTTCAGATCACCAGGGGAAAGCATTATTGCAATATCATGCATATATTGGCTGTTCCAATTAACAAATCTAAGTGCATATTACTTAATGCAAGCATGGAAAATTAATCACATGAGAAGAACAATAAAATCATAACATTTTTTGATATTTAGCATTTAGCTTACACACTATCTGTATAAAGGGAAGCCTAGTCCTGGCAGCCTCTTTTTTTTGCTATTAAAGAAAATAATTTATAAGGATAATAACATCATCATCACCATCGTCATCTAAGAAGCTTCACCCAGCCTCACCACCGATTCGGTTTTGTCGGTGTTTGTTTGTAGCATAAATCAAGATCGATGTAAAACTTCACTTCCAGTTCAGATTTTTCGGCGTTTGGATGGAGTGGAGTTTTATATTGTAAATCGATGTAAAATGTCACTTATAATGAGGTTTTACATTGACTATCGATGTAAATACTAATCAATAAAATTGATACAGTATTACATCGATAATCACATTTTTTGAAGTTCAGCGGTTCAGAGATTTCAATAGTTCGGTGTGAAACTTCATCGATGGACTTTTACATCGATGGGGTTTTACACCACAAACAAACACTACCTTATGGGTGTTGTAAGTGGTCTTTCATGCATGTGATTGAACCATTTAAGTCTACTTCTCTCATTTCATCAACAATAGGAGTTCTTCTTAAACTCCTTTGAATGATTTCACTTATAACCTTTTACTTTATAGTTGTTTCGCACTCATCCATTTTAGCATAAGCATTTTTGCTACACTCATTTTTTGGACATGTTTCTTGATTGTCTAACATTTTTCCCTATATAGCATTGCAAGCGTTGGAACTATCTTATAGAATTTTCCTTTTAATCTAAGTGCTATATATTTGTATATCACATAAAAGTACTCAAAATTCACCTCTCCATTTTTCTTATCATTTTCTAATTCTATGGACAATATCTTCCTTAATCTCTCTCTTGTTATGAATTTTCCAACCAAGGTATTAAAAAAGGTTAGATGAAAAATACATTCTCGGAAATACAATCAATGCCTTGCCTCAGTGTCTTTTAATTAGACTATGATTATATTAAACAAAACAAATGTGCTAAATGAGAATTACTGTTATGAATGATAGAAATGACCAGAATACACAATAAAAATAAAAAAATAAAAAAGGAATTCAATATCTGATTTACTTGGAAGATATTGACTTGGTCAGATGGTTGTCAATGGTTCAATTGGATGGATCATTAGATTGTTGGTTGGTCAGTATTTTTTTGTAGGTGATCAAATGGCTCATGGGCTAAATGGATGTAGAAACTTGCTTAATTGGGTGACTCATCTAGTTACCTATAAAGTTAATAAATAGAGAATGACCCCAGTACAGGCCCAATATTATTTTTTTTTATGAATTTTAATAAGTTTTATTTGATATCCATTTTTATGTTGTAAATTTAGGGTATTATTTTATTTGATTGTTTTATGTATAGATTTGTTATTTTAATTTAAGAAACTAAATTCAACTTTATTTCTAAATATTCATCCACTACTACTAACATTTTTTAAGAGTGGAATTAACTATCACTTAAGTGGGTAGACACATGTTTGAGAACTAAATAGTCACTTTTGAGATGTTGAAAAAATATGCCACTTGTTTGAGAGAGAAGCTCTCTAGTTTGAGGGCTTTGTTTATATATATTAGATGGGTTAAAAACGTTGAGACATAGTTAATATAGATGCATTTATGTGATAAAAAGGGTGTTAGATTTGGTTTGGGTTTTATTGTAATAGTCTACTTATGGATTCTACCTATGGATCCACTCAAATCAAAATCTAGATTTAGAAAGGTGATAAAGCCCAGAGGCCAGAACTTTTCAGATTTGGATTTGGATTTTGTTGAATGTTGCAACTCGTTTATGGTTTCTATAGTTCTTCTAAATTTTATATTTTTTAATATTTGAAAAAAATAAAAAAAATAAAAAATGAAACTACTTGAACTTGCGGGAACATAATAGGGTGCATGTGAGGTCTACTGAAATTTCCATGAAGAATTTGGAGACACATGAGTGGTCATTTTAGCCATTGGGTCATCAACAAACCATAACATTTCTTCTTCTTCTTCTTCATCTTCATGGGCCACACAACAGAGGTATCCCATCCTCTTACCCCAGAAAACATTGATTCCCACTGAAATGCAAACACACGGGCGCTTGAAATAAAAAAGCCGGTTGATTTGATGCCTTGAATTTATTGCAAACACTAGTGTGTTTGCATTTTGTTGAGGGGTCTCTGGATTGACATGATCGTGGTTGCACTCATGAAATGTGAGCTCCCCATAACCCCCATTCTCTTTGTTGACACATAGTTTTATGCAACGTTTTTGAACCGTAGTTGATCCGTATGGTTGGACCATTCGGATCAGAAACACGTCACTTGAATGATTCTGATTTTATCAGACTGTCATCTTGCCTAAAATCGTTGAAATGGTCAAAAAAACCGTTGACCTGTACGATTGAACTGTCGACCCTTTTGACCCGATCAACGGTTAGTGGTTCGGCATTTATGTTTATTTTAATTTATTATTTTATTTTAAAATAAAAATAAAACAAAAAAGAAAATGACAAACATATCCCAACTTCTAAACATTCTATGTCTCCTTTCTGTAGGGTTTTGTTTTGCCAAAACTGAAAATCCAACATCTTCACCAGCTTCACTGAAGAAGACGACGGTGGCACACCAAGACCTGCCTTCCCGAAGAATGAACAACCACCTGCTGGCGACCAAGATTTGTAGTGGCAGCCGATGAACATGGTGGAACACTCTATTTCCAAACATCTCTGATCTCTTGAAAGTAGACCTGTTCATGGGCCAGGTCGGGCTTTCACTCTGCATTAACAGGTTTTTCTATGGCCCGAGCCTGAGCCCGACCCGACCATCAGGCTTACAACTTGGGCCTGAGCCCGACACTCATAAAAAGCCCGAAGTCCAGGCCTGGGTCCGAGCCCAAAGTCTAGCTCATGCCGCTGCTATTGCTAAAGCGACTAAATAGAGAGAAATTATAAAGAAAAAATAAAAAATGTATATATATATATATATTAAATTATTAATATATATTCTAATAAATATTATATATTTTATATAATATATAAAATACATATTATATATTTTATAAAATATATAATGTTGAGTTGGGCCAGGCTGGGCTTGGGCCAAGCTTTTTTGACAAATCCTGAGCCCGGCCTGAAACACAATCAGGCTTGCTGTTTTGGGCCTGAGGTCAAGCCCAAGGGCCTAATTACATGTCCAAGCCCAACTGGGGTGTAGGCCAGGCCATTGGGCTACCCAGCCCATGAATAGGTCTACTTGAAAGGAACAACATCTCTTGAAGAGAAAGGCAGCGACCACTATGGAGTTGAGAACCACTGTATTTTTCTAGTATTTCTTACCATGGTTTTCAAAACTGGACTGGACCAGTCATTTTTCCCCAGAACGAGATTTTTGCCAAAAAGCGTTGATTTGGTCAACAAACCGTTGACCTAGGCGGTTGAACTGTTCAGCGGTTTTGACTGTTTTTTATTTTTTTTATTTTTTGTCAGAATAGGCTGTTTGTTCGGTTCGAACGGTCAAACCGTTCAACTTGGGAATTGGACCCTTGACCGGTTCATTGTCCGGTTCGGTTTCAAAAACCTTATTTCTTGCAATACTATGATTTATTTTTCCTATATTTTTTTTGTGTATTTTATTTAACTTTTATGGCATTTTTTATTATATATAAATATTTTTTGTTTTTTAATTTATTTATGACATCACGAGTTGACCGTTCGACCCGGACAGTTGAACCGCCGAATCGGAAAACAATGCCCAGAATGGTTCCATTTCTAGGTTGGAATTTAAAACCTTGGTTGCATGTGATCCCTAATGAAATGCAACACACCACTGCTTTTCTTTTTTAAATAAATGGATAAATTGCATATTAGTACCATGTACTTTGCAACTAGTCTCACTTTAATATCTGAACTTTAAAACGTGTCACTATAGTACTTGAACTCTCAAAAATTGCCAATTTAGTAAACATTCCTTAACAATGTTAGATGGTATGTGAATGGATACAAACACCCTTCAAATTTTGAATAGGTTGGGCTATCAATACCCATTCCCGAACCTATTTAGACCTGACACGAGCTATATACATATAGTACATAGTATATATTAAATAAATTATATATAATATACATATAATATATATAATTTTTAATATATATTAAACGTATTTATTTATTTATTATAATCGAGTCTGTCAGGTTAGACCCAATTATCTTGAGAACTGATCAGTTCGGTTCGAGGTCCTCAATATTTCCTATCAGGTCGGTTCTGATTCTAGCTGGTTTGAACCTAGACCCGACCCGTTGATAGCCCTATGAATAGGAGAGAAATATAATTTTGAAATGGCCAAGATAGCCATGTTTAAATCCCTTTTCACCGCAATTGGGAACCACCGCTCACTTTATACCCTGACTTTTCTACTGAAGAACCAATCCATCGTGCTGGAGAAGTCATATGGAAAAATGTCATCAGAGAAGACGGTGTCCCTTTTAAAAAAATTATGGAAAATTACACTGCACCACACTACAAAATTCTGAATAAGACTACAAACCCTACATAATTCAAAATAACAAACACCCCCACCCTAAAACACCAATATCCGCTCGTTTATTAGCATTAATTCTACACTGGCACCTACCCGAACTGTACGGTAGGATTAAAAATTCTTAAAGTGTGTGCTGAACAATAATTCTCCTAAAAATTTAAGTGGCATATGTCATTACCTAATATAGATAATTAACAAACTGCTAACCACACACTAAATTAACAAATTTTGGGAGTTCAAATAATAGAAGTTTTGAAATTTAGATGTTAAAGTGAGACTAGCCCTAAATTGAAGGGTGTAATTTACCCTCAATAAATTCAAGCGTCAGATCACATAAACTGCTTTTTTTTTTTGTTCTTTTTTGAACGTTGGTGTATTGGGTTCTTATGCAACAAGTGTCGCAGCAGATTTTCAGATTTTTTGCTGAAAACATGATTAATAGAAAGGTCAGAGAAAAACGACCAAAGACGCCTCATGAAAAGATAACGTTGTACTCTATGGCTTTTACTCAACTAACAAATAAACATTCCTATATATGTCGGGTGAGTAAGGGAATCCCTGTTCTCAAAGAAGAAAGAAATCATTAATTAAGCGTTTTTCTTTTTTATCGATTTATAATCAATTCAGCGTTACCAATTTTCTTCGTTTCTCTATATCTATCTTAAAGTCAACAAGGACAAATTTATATCTAGTAAATTCCAGCTTAAAATAACAGTCAAAAAGAGAAACGGAATGTTTCTTTCTTCTAGCGGATGCAAATAGCAATAAAATTCAATTATACAGGGAGAAGGCGAACATTTTTGAGAAGAAAAGAGAAACCTTTTTTCGTCTGAAGGAGGTTTCGAGCAGGATATCCATGAGATTCAAAGATATTGTCTGCAAAAGATTGGATCAAATTTGAACATCAGAGAACAGATTGAAACGGAATAAGAAACTCATCAAGTAGAAGAGATGCATATGAATTCACTTGAAACGAAGCTCGAAGATGCAGTCAAGCCTGTCAAAAGGAAGAATAGAACCACAGACAAGCAGCGATTCGGCATTATTTTTCTTTTTCTTTTGATCTCCCTTTTGAAAGAATTATGGGAAAGAACCTTCCGTTCTCAGCGGGGACAGCGAGAGAGAGAGAGAGAGAGAGAGAGAGAACGAAAAGACAACGAGCAACATAAAATTTATGGGAGCTTTGAGAGAATGCTCGATCGAACTCGGAAGAGAAGTCGCGGAGTCATAAGTTCTCGTTACAGCTTCGCCTTCGGTAGTTGTCGTGTCCAAATAAAAAAACCGCGCTTTCGGAGGCTGCTTATGTAACCGGCCAGAATTGATAAACAAGTCCATACCTCCTACTCACACAAACCCTACCCACAGACATCACAGCCCCACATTGGAAGCATGATGTGCGGCTATAATATCCTGTGGGTAGGAGATCTAGAATGTCGAATTGACTTTCTGGAGGCGTGGCCTAATACATCAATAATGTGAATGGCATCTTTCTTCTATTAGGAAGAAGCATTTTAAACCCCACTGAAGTTTGGTAGTTGTAATCATCTCTCTAAAATTTTTTAACACAGTTATCTATGCAATTATTGAGGTTGGTTTCTACAGAAAAAATTAATACATACTTAATGAATAACAAAATAATCGAGAATTTAAAGTTGCAAACTTGCAATTTTACCTTTCAGTGATTTATATGAAAGGTAAATTTAGAAAATAAATCAATTTTAGAAAAAGATATTGAAAGGATTTGGGATAGTAATTCATATGAAAAGAAAATTTGGAAAATAAACATTTTGGCCCAAAGTAACTACATGGGTATTTTGGACATTTTATTCATGCCTCTTTTTAAAGGATTGTAAGGAAGGGAGTCTACTTACAACCATGTCAAAAGGTTTAGGAGAGGTGACTGCAATTACCAAACTTTAGAGGAGGTTTTAGCAACAACCAGAAGCTTCAGGGGAGGTTTTAGCAATTTACCTTATCTGAGACTCAAAATCACACAATTGCACTACTGTCTAGTAGGGGTGTTCATGGGTTGGACTGGGTCAGTTTCAATGATTTTTTTCAACTGATCCGACCTTGTCGGGTTGCTTATTCACCAAACCAAAACCGACCCAAACATGAAGGGTCGGTTTGTCAGTTTAGCTAGTTGGTTTGGCCAATGGGCAAAAGCAAGATGTTGTGTAGTGTTTAGTGTGTGCCACAAAAATTTCAAATTTCTCCTTAAGTTTGGCAAGTTTAAAGCCATAGGGATCTTTCTTGTGGGGCTTTCCAATCCCAAAAAAGGTAATAAATAAAAAGACTTTGAAATTGATGACTCAAATAAAAAAGGAAATAACAATCCCAAGACAAAAGCAATTCCCCATTTAGCTAATGTTACTTAAATTTAAAACTAAGTAGAAATAGGAAAGGACTAAGACTAAGAAAGTAAGAAGCAATAGGCCAATAGCCAAGGATGAAAACACTCTACATTAGTGAATTTGATGCTCGGTTCAGTTCAATTTGATTTCGGTTTTCAAGTGTGAAAACTAAAACTGACCTGATCTATCGGCTTAGTTATTTGCAAGAGCCGAAACCGACCAAATCAGGTTGGGTCGGTTTGGCTTGATCGGTTTGACTCACAATTTGAATAGTCAGATTAGATTTGGATGCAAGTTTTCAATAGTTGGATTGGATTCGGATTTTGCTCAATCTAATATGAATTCAATGTATTTATAGCCCTACAAGTAAGGTGCTTTCTCATATACAACATTCATTCAAAAGTCTAACATTTTAGGGTATAATATGAGCAGGTTTTGATAAAAGGTCGAGAGTTGTAAACAAAATATTGTTGGACAAGCTTCCTAATTTTATCTATGTAATGACATAAACACTAAGATATTGATGGCTCATTGCCACTCAATACCTCTACCATCACTTTTGCATTGGAACAACTATTAATTGTTGCCATCCTCTCTAATAAATGGCAAAGCTTTAAAATTTATTATAAACTCTACCTCAATTAGCTCTTTAACCAAACCCACTTTATCAACTATAATAATAACAAAATTAAAATAGCTATTGTAAATACAAAATTCAAAAGTCCCCTTCTTGTTATTCATAAAACCCCCACTACATATAATATATAAACTATGATATGGCAAAGATGGAAGGTTTAACATGTTATACACAACTATATTGTTATTGGCATGGTATTAATATTAGGATTCTATATATTCATTATCCCATTAATTTTTCTTAAAAAATAATGGGCATTTCTTTTAATATTTAAAAAATAGTGACATTTCAAGATTGTCATACGAGATATTAAATCTTGTTCTCTCTCTCTATGTAAGGTATTTTTTTCTAATAAATAAATTCTATTAATTAGAACTATATTTAATACTTTTAATAATATAAAACTCATTTTTAAAAAATGACTCAAAAACAAAACCTTCATTTGTCCATGTGACTAGTAAGCAATTCAATCATATACATGTATGTATGTATGTATGTATGTATGTATGTATGTATGTATGTATGTATGTATGTATGTATGTATGTATGTATATAAACTAAAAAATACATAAAATTTACAAAAAATTTTAGATACACTATTATTACCATATATTTACGAGCTGAGCTATATTAGGCTCGAGCTTGGCTCAATTAGAAAACGAGCCTATATATTGGACTTAAATTCGGCTTGAGGCTCGGTTTAGATTAAGCCGAATTGAGCTTTTCACAAACTGAACTCAAATAACTCATGAAAGACTTGAATCTTTTTACCCGGGTTCGATTATAATACCAGAAAGATATAATATCAGGAAAACTTACAGCCAATCAAAAAATATCATAAAAGAGTGACCAATCAGGTTGTATTCATCAAAATTCATGGGATACTTTGATTGGTGAAAACTCTTTTGATACCATGTCTGTCCGGTATCATAGACTCCCCCCCTCCTCCCCCACACACCCAAAAAAAGAAAAAAAATTTAACATTACCATATATTTATACAAGCTATTGTGATAGGAACATTATAACAAAACAGGAAGGGCTTAGTTAAATAACTGTTTTGGTTCAGGCTTCAGGCATCAGCTGCATAGAGGCTTATAGGCTTTTTGGGTGGGCCATATCACCCAAGCCCAAAATCCAGGACATGAAACCCCTCTTTGACGGCCTGAGTGCTAACCCGGTGACTCCAATCTTTTATTGAAAGCCTATTGACCTATTTAGAATGGACGCAGTCCCACATCGCTAACATATAAGCATGAATCTTGTTAATATGCATGATGGCTATCAGAGAGGTTGTCTCTTCGGAGACATCCGATAAAATTGGAACGATACAGAGAAGATTAGCATGGCCCCTGCGCAAGGATGACACGCATAAATCGAGAAATGGTCCAAATTTTTTTGGAAAAATTATCCAATTTTAGACTTTCACCGAAGATCACCCTTTTGAATTTAGAATACAGAAATCATTCGATAAAAAAAAAGCAGCATTGAAGGTTTTGAATGGTCGAGTTCCTGTTTACCCTTGTTTTCTATTTATCTTTCAGTTCTACAATATCTATGCCAGGGCATGGTTCTGGGTTTCTATGAAAGCAAATTGGGGTAATTTTTCCTTTCGTTTTTTCTTAGTAAAACAAGATTGAGGGTGTTGGAAGTCTATCAAATGTATAGATTGGTGGGTATAGATGTTTTCTGCTCAGTTCATCCGCTTGTCAAATTCTTTTCTGCAACAGAACGCCAGAAGCTAGGAAATCACATTCAGAAATATTCAGGTTATTGGTGACTTTTATATCTACCATTATATCTTATTTTTCCTTTGAAATTAGTCATCTTGAATAATGCTTTGTTTTACTTTACACAATCTGAACATCCTAAACCACCTTTCAAATCCAGATCTTTCTGGGAGTAGTTTTCATCACAGTCAGTAGTGAAGTAATTATTTGTATTCAACATTCAATCTTCAAATCAATTTTCCCAGTGAATCTTTAATCCTAATCTAATGTAGGCCATTTCAATGGAGGTAATAGTATGACCCAGATCTCCCAGTCAAACAGTCAAACACCAGGCCTTTGTTGAAATTCAAAATCTTTCTGTGCAATGATCAAACTCAAGTTCTCTTATTCTCTCAGCCTCTTACTCCATCACCCAGTCAATTGATTCACCTGAAAGCCTTTTGGTAGCTTCCTAGATGTAGAGCCATTTTCTGTTCAGAAGGAGGAGCTTTTCGTTTCTGCAGGAGTTAGAAAATGGGATCATGGGCACTAGTTGTAGTAAAGTTGTTTCTTCCAAAGCCCTCAAATATTCTTCTAAACATGCTTGGATTTTTAATCAACTGGTTCAGACTCACCTTTATCTACTTTCTTGTAGCACTGAGGTTGCCTTCTGTGTACATGTCTGCTTCTATGATCCGAGTCGTGAGAGGAGAGGCTGGGGGTGGAGGATGTATTTAGCCTTACAAACTTGTTTCTGTGTTATTCTGCTACAGTACTACTTCTGGGGTGCAAAACTTGACTGGTCTAAGCACAACCAGTCTGTCTTAAGTTTGACAACAAGATGCAGTGATCTCTTCATGGCCTGGAACAAGCCAAATCTTTGAACCATGCTTTCTCATTTCTACTCTCCCAAATGTACTAGGAGTATAGAATAGGAAAACTATTTTTATCTACTAAATCAAGCTTAGTATGGAACTGTAATACAGACATAGTCCAATATGGTTTATTTGATACAGAAAGTACAACATGGCTGGCTGCAGAAAAACCATGGTTCTTGAAAAGCTGTTTGTTGGAGGGGCCAAACACAATAAAACAAACACAGAGAGTCTGAAATCTGAATGCAAATGATCAGACCTCTGGGCTTCATAACATTTGGAGCAGTAATAACACGAGGGACGAACTTACAAACAACAGGAAAGGCAATAGAATTTGCCCAATCTGGGCTCCGCTGGTACCATTGCTAGATCCCACCGGTGCTGTGGCATTGCATTTCAGTCCATCYTTCCCTTCTCGGCACTCACTGGAAAACAGGCCAGGGGGATATCCCTCATTCTGGGTTATGTAGCTGAGCATGGTCGATGCACAATTACTATTGAGGTCATTAATCTCAGCTGCGTATGGGCAAGCAAATTCTTTCAAAGCTGCACAACAGAGCTCTGGGGGAAACTGGGGCCCTTTGCATTGGTTTTTGAATATTGTGTAGTCCAGGTTCTCGAAGTTCACAGTGCACTCTTCAGATCACCAGGGGAAAACATTGCATTGTCATGTATTGGCTATTCCAATTAA